GACTTCTCAAGGGCTAGTTTTAGGTTATGATTCTTACTTTGCAAGAAAATATTTAGGAGTGAAAAGTATGCAGAACTTGGCAGAGTCAGATATATATTTATGATCCTCAGTGAATCAACTGACTTTTTCCCCTTCAGTATCAAGTCTTTCTCTGCTCAACAGTTTCTGTTTTGATTTTTAATTTTTTCTCCCAAATGAAAAAAAAATAGAAGATTTAAATGACTGCTATCATTAGAAGACAAATAACTTGGCAGTATATTAATAATATTAATTTAAAAATTAAAAGACAACTGAATATGAATGATTAAACTTTTTTACTAGAGTTGCAACTCTATTTTATATATAATAACATTATTTCAGTTGATTTATTGAGAATTACAAACATATATGTGCCTTTGCCAAGTTCTATGTACTTTGTGTTCTTAAATATTTTCATCTGCAAAGCACGAATCACAAATGTAAACTCTTCCTATGGAAGTAGTCATATGCCAAATTCTAGAACTGTAGTTGGCCTTAGTCTAACTTTCTCATTTCATAGATGCAAAATGGTTCTTTCTGTGTATAATGGGGTTCAAAACATCAGTATTCCATGGTGTTTTACACAGAAGACTGTAATAGTCAGATTCTCTGTTCCTTGAGTTTGTTTGAAAGGTAGAGTCTCAAAAGACCGGATTTTAGCTTCATTTTCCTAATAAGAGTACCGAAGCTTGGTAACTTGCCCAAGGTTACAGCTAGTTAATGGTACTCACAGGACTCAAACTTAGGCAGTCTGATTCTAGACTAATTTACAATATACCCCCTCCTACTTTGGACTTCTTGCCAACATGTCAGTGCCCCGAGAGGATGGTGTTTACTTTGGACAGTTCTATCCCCAGATCCTTGAACACAGCGTGGCATGGTGGGAGCAGCCAAGGATTCCGGCACTGTTCCCTCCCTACCCTGAATCCAGGTGAAAGCGGCCATTTTTTCTTTCTATGCACAGATGTCTGAGGACTGTTGGGAATCGAGGCCTCAAGAGGAAAGATTGAGAAGGAAGACGGTGATTTCTTCCTGGCAGTCCTGACTTCTCAGCTCCAGCTTTCTGTCTCAGGGTGTTCACTTTCCAGCAATTTTTTGGAAGGCATAGATAGCACTGAAGGAAAAACATCATTTCATGTAAACTAACAATTCAGCTACCCACCTCTGAAGATGACAAACTCCTCAGTTCTCTACCCCCTTACCTTCCTGTCTCACTACCTACCTTTATGTGATTTAATTGTCCAGGGACGTTATTAATTCATGTACTCTGTAACCTTTATGTCCCATTAACAATTTGACTTCCTGTACTTCTTTGCCATTGAGAGCATCATTTCTTCAGTAGGAAGGAATTTTGGAAAAGGCAAGAAGACATGCTCAGAGCTGAAGAAATAATAAGGACTAATACTGGAGTCATAACAACTCATTATTTGTTTTTAAGTTTGATATTTCAGAAGGTTGTTATCTGGAGTTGAAGACTAATGGATTCAGGGTCTCTATGCAGAGGAAATCTTAAACAACAGTGTTTGTAGGGAGGGACATTAATCAGGAGAGAGAAGTGGGCTTTGTGCCTAATAATGTTTGCATAATAGCGCCCCTTGGGTGTATTGCTTGACTTATAAATAAATATTCATGCTTTCCATCTCCAGTACCATTGGAAATTATTTGTGGTTATGCTTCTGTTATATGATCGTCAACGTGTTCATGGGGACTTCAGGCTGGCAGGCTGTTGGAAATGAACAAACATAAATCACAGCGCTTGTGAATGAGTCTGGGGTAGAAATTAAAAGAGGCTCTGATAGGGGTGATCTGGAAGAATTGGTCTGGGAGCAGCTCCCAACTGTTTCTAGAAGGGGAGCAGAACCATACTGGTGTGCTTAAGGACATGATACGCTCCCCTGGTTTACCTTTAACTCTTCAATAGCTCATCATCACCCGCAGGATACAAATCCAGGTGCCTTACCTGTACATATGAGGTGCCCACTGGAGTGGTCCCTGTGACTTGGCAGCACCTCGCCTTAGTGCACTCCCCACCCCAGATAGGATACTAGACAGCGCTTTGCAGCTTCCCTCCAGCACCATGACTTCGAACATCCATGTTTTCATTCATATCCTACCTTCATCTTGTAAGGGTTTGCCAAGCCTTCTTTGCGAATTAATCCCACTTAATCACGGAACAGTTGGCTTAAATTTTTTCTCTTCCAAGAAACCTTCTTTGAACTCCACAGTTGAGGGAATAAAATTGCCCGCAGTCTTCCTCCCTTTCTCCCTTCCTTCCTTCCTTCCTTCATACCTTCCTTCCTTCCTTCCTTCCTCTATCTTTCTCCCTCCCTCCTTCCTTCCTTGTCTTGATTTATTACATGCACCAAATTTTATTACACAAGTGCTTTAAATTAATGAATTTATTTTTCTCCTTTATTCTTACATTCTTTCTCTTTCCTTTATCCTTTATTTTCTAGGAAAAATTTTAATATGATTTGGAAAACATAGGCTCTGTGCTGTGTTGAACTTGAGTGTGTGTGATTTTCAAGCTCAGCGTTAACTGCCCCCTCAGGCAATTTCCCTCACCTTTCTTTCTTTCCTAATATGGATTTCTACTTCAGTGAAGAGAACACCCTGTTGCCTAGAAGTCCAAACTGATTTCTTCTTCCAGACCTGCAGTTGCTAATATTTTCTCCTGCCCTCCAGTGTAGGGTTTACATCTCAGAGTTAAGCCCCATCTCATTGGCTCCTTCACCTGGGCCTTCGCCTGATGGGGTCTGTTACCAGAGAGGTGTCTGCCTGACTTTGCACACCAGTTTTCCTACTGCTGGCTCCCTCCAAAGTGCCCGTATGTCTTTTTCATGTACAGTCCCAAAAGGACTGAAAACTACTCTTTCTGGTAATATTCCTATTTATAAAACTTCCTGTTTTATCCTTACTGCAGAGAGATGAGCAGGACAGTGGTTAACCCTATTTTACAAATAAGAAAATCTATTTTAAAAAGGTTGGATGACTTTTTCAATTTATGTGCCGGGGAAATTCCGTGATTAGACTTACACTCCAATTCAGAGCCTGTTCACGCCACGATAAGCTTGATAACCTATAGAGACTATGTTCTTCTGTTTTCTGTAGGCCTCACAAGGCCTCGGGGAGCTCTGTGCAGTGAGGTGATAGCGGGCCCTGACAGAGACCTGGGATGGACACAGGGACCTGCAGCATGGTGACAACTGGGCCACTGCTGGCTCTGGGCCCCAAGAGAGTCCCTTTCCTCTGAACCCCAGTGTCTCCATTTATAACATGAAGAGTGAGCCACGGGTTTTCTTAGGCTCTTTTGACACATAACATTTTGTTAATTCCCTCCATGTTATTTTTATTTCTTTCCCCTTCTGGCTTCCATTTGCTCTCTTAGCTTTCTTCGCAGTCAGCTCACCAACTGACGGTTGGGCATTGACAGTGTACAAAGCATTGTGCCAGGATCCAAAGGGAGATGAAAGGGTATCACTTACAGCTGGTTATGGAAAGGAAGCATTCTCCCCTCTCTTCCCTGTTCTCCTTTTCCCCCTCTTCTTCCTTCATCCTTCTCCCTCCGGTGCTCAAGCAGCCCTCATCATGTGCACGGGTTTTCAAAGCTTCTGCTTTGGTCAGGGAGGGAGAGGGAGGAAAAAATTACCAGCAACTGCAGGTCTGGGAGAAGAAACCAACTGGGACTTTTAGGCGACAGGATGTTCTCTTCACTGAAGTAGATATAATCCATATTAGGAAAGAAAGAAGGTCAGGGAAATTGCCTGAGGGGCCAGTGAACGCTGAGCTGGACGGAAAGCGCTGGGTCCTGGGCCAGGGACTGAGCTCCACACACCCATGATCCTTTGCATCTGGTGCCCCAGGGCTCCTAAGTGTCCACAGAAATGCTTGGAGGGCTCTGCTCAGGGACACTCAAGGGCTCCACATACTCTGATGCATGATACGGCGTTTTTGGCTAACTATATGAGAGACTACTCAAACGAGACCAATACAGTGACGCTTTGAAAAAGAAATCATTTTCTTCTAAACGCCTGTGACATTAAAGCCCTACAATCAATCTATGTGTTGTGTAGTATTAGAATCTAGGCATTGATTTTTTTGAAAGGGACCATTTCCAACCGAATGCAGCCCTCATTGTCGTTAGACACTTATATGTTCTTTTCCCTTTGTTCAGTCATATTTTCTCATTCCTCTTCTACACCCCACATGACATGCACACGCACTGCTGTTTCTCCCCCCAAGGCTGCATATTCTTACAATTAGTTTAGGTTACCTAAGACTCTTAGAGTTCTTTCCGTAAGAGTCACCAATGAATGCGATGCTAAACACATGGTTTTTTAATTCAGAACATAATTAAAATATACTTGCTGCTGCTTCACTGCCCCTGGTCCTCTTCATTTCCATAGCAGAAGGTATTTATTTATCATTTCAAATCACACACACAAAACTGACGGATGATTTTTTGAACCCCAAGAGGGCAAAGTGGAAGGAACTGGCAAGCTGGCAGCAACACCAATCACAATAGGTACCTGCTCTGCATCGGTGGATGAGTCAGGAACATTTATAAGATTTACTGAATCCCTTCAGCAATCCTGTAGGATTTAGACTTGCTGTTTTACAGATGTGGAAACTGAGGCTCAGAGGGGCTAAATGATTTGCCCAGTGTTCCACAGCTTGTAAGTGTCAGAGTTAGGATTTGAACCCAATCTGTGCTCCTCCAAATGTCACGTTCTCTTTGCTGTCCCAGGGCTAGAGGGGGCTCAGGTAGGCTTTAGAGTGATACAGGGGATGGGAGCCCAGATAGGGAAGGGCTGGGGAGGAGGCCTTAGTCTGTTCCTAGAGTCAACTTTTGGCATGCTTCTCCTCCCCTGGACCCCGCCCCGAGTGTAGACTCTTTCTGCCAAATATAGATCCAGCCCTTGGTAATCATTTTAATGAGAGGGTCTTCTACTAATGGGACATCTCTCTTTTGTCTTTCACAGCAATTTTGCAGGCAGTAATAGCTGGTGATCTTATGAAGGTAAGATATCTTCCTACCAAAACTTTTGGTGATTCTTTAAGAATTTTAAATCAACGTCATTTCCCACCAAATTTTCATGATTCCATATATCACGTATCCAGCCCCTGCCTGTGCTGGCTGAGTAGAAAGAGGAAGGATGCTCTTGAGAACTGAACAGAGCGGGTGGGAGGAGTCCTCACAGCGTCGCCACATTTCCAAACCACAAAGCGTTTCTGTAAGAGCACCGAGCAATTTTTCTTGACTAGATAACATGGTTGCAGGGCCCCAAGTGCCCACAGTGCCCAGAATCTCTGCTCCCTAGAAGCTGATGTTGGAAGTTGAAAGATTTCTTTCTAGACAAGCCTTGAAATGAATGCATCTGTAAGAATTACCTAGACAATACCCAGAGATACGTTCTCCAGGCTAGAGCCTATGTCTTTCCACATTACGACAGTTTCATATTTTGGGGAACCCAGTCAACCAAAAGAAGATACTCGATCGGATCTACCTTGAATGTTTTAATGTGTGCTTATGTTTTCCGGTGAATTTTAGCTCAGAGGGAAGGGAGTGGTCACTGGTACTTCTAGAGGGAAGGTAAATTCTGAAGTCCGGCTGCCTGGGTCCGGATCTTGGCTCTGCCACTCACTATATGTGTGACTTTGTATAGTTGTTTAATTCTCTCTGTGCCTCAGTTTCTTCATCTGTAAAATGGCATGACAATTTTGCCCCTCTCTTTGCTTTGTTGTGAAGATCGAATGTGCTAATGCATGTGAAGCTCATAAGGCAGCTCCTATTACATAGAAGGGACTCTAAAAAGTTAGCTATTTTATTAATTTAATGTCAGTTTGTGTTTTTTTGAATAGCTGAACATAGGGGACATGCATATCTATAAGTATAAAGGCGATGCAAATGTACAGCACAGTCTATTCTGAAAGCTGTGTTGGATCCCATGTCCTTATCAGGCATGGGGACTCATGACTGCCCAGGTATGCCTGTTTAACCCACATTGCCACAGATCTGCTCTGTGATATCAGCAGCTGCCTAGGGGCAGAAGCAGTGCCTCCCTCGTCTGCCCGTAGAGTATATGCCGTTGCAGATCAAGAGACCAAAAGCCTTAAAAGAGAGCCGAGAAGCACTGCCCTTTATACAGCTCCTCTCGAAGCGCCTCTGTTGAAGCAGCTGAGAGGTCACTGTGCTTCATTTGTAACAGGTTACTACTAGCAGAAAAGCGATGGTGAGAAGGTCACCAGCCTCTTCCTAATCTGCTGCCCTTAGACACAGAATCCTGGAGAGGGTACCTGTGCTGTTGTCCAGAACATAGAGTGTCACTAGGAATTGTGACTCACAGAGAAGAGTGCTCTCCAAGCAGCACACCTGTGAGTTCGGTGGCATTACCCAGCAATGGATTAAACCAACCCTATCCTATATCCCCCTCAGAGCCTTCTGTGAGCAAGGCACGAGCAAGACCTACCTTGTCCTGCCTTGACAGAGCTTCTAAGCCAGTGCATTTTGTACACTACACCTGAAACCTTTTCATTTTATTTTGTATATGCTTTTACCTAGGCAACAATGTTTTGAGGTCCCTTGTTAGAGTACCACAGCTTTTTTTGTACTTAATAGAGAATTCTTTGAGATGTAGGAAATCGCTATATTCGGCCAGTTGTCTTATTACATTCTCTGTTGCAATTATTCCCTAAATAGCCAAGAAATGACATAAAAACCCCCTATTTACTGAGAGGGAAAACTATAGGGGCTTAAGGGTTGTTTTTGTGTTTGTTCTTTAGCTCTTTCCCTTTCTTGTTTCTACCTTTTCCTTTCCAAGTATTTGTCTTCCCCTTTTCTTCTCCATCTTTTTTCATTTTTTATATTCCATGTAGAAAGCAAAATAAATACTAAACTGGTTGAGAGAGAGAGAGAGAGAGAGAGAGAGAGAGAGAGAGAATACACTAGTGAGCAGAGAGCAGAAAGCTACAGGACAGCACCCCACCCGGTCCCCCAGTGAGGGCTGTTGTGAGTACAGCAGGACTGCATACCAGTAAGATGCCCACAGACAGACTTAATGTTCACAGTACCTAAAATGACCAAGGAAAGTCAAGTTCAAGACAGCTGATGGATTGGGTCAGCACTGCTCTGTTGAGCCTGAATCCTTGGTGGATCTGCCCCCAGAAAAGGGAGTGAGACAATGCAGTTAAACAGAACAGTTTGCTCTTAGATTTTCACAGAAAGCTAACAATTCCTCCTTCTGTCCTGTTGCCCCAGTTAGGGGCGAACGTCCCCCTGTGTTCCTTATTTCCATTCAATGACTCCTTTTTGATCCACTTTCTAGAAAGTCTTCCATGACTCTTTCCATTTCCCTGTTCGCACTTCCCTAGTGCCCTGTGGTAGCCCCATCACAGGCCTCTCCATTCCTGGGTAATTGACACGGTCTCCCCCGTGGACTGGGAAGTCTTGGAGGCCACTGACCGAGTCATCTTCTCCTGTTTCCCTGGCATCTGACACATGGCAGTTCTATGATTGGATCGGAGCGAAAGCATAAGCAATGAGTTGTTTGACCTTTTGAGATGCTTGATTTGCTGAGAATGTGGTGTCATCTAACTTCTTGGTGGCAGACACATCCCTTTTGCTTCTTACCTGCTGGGTGATTTGATTCTTATTTGTCCTACAACTGCCTTTTGGAAGCTCCAGAAGGCTCTTCTTGTTTGAAATATACTGCAGTTTGGAGAACAGGGACCCAGTTACACTTTCTGTAATGTTCAATATTTTACTTAGACCATATCCTCTGTTAGCCACCTTATTCTCAGGCGGCAGAGTCTTTTCTTTTCTTTTTCTCCTAGTCTGTTCTCATTGTTTAGGTGTTTTAGGGTTCTACCTCTGTGTTCTCTGAATCCTTTTGGTTCTCCTCCCGCGGATCATCTCTAGCCTGTTGGGTAGGTATTGGATGGCTAACAGAAGGCGTGAGGCTGGGCTACACATCGGATGGGGAAGGGCGGCATACCTGTGCGTGCTTGTGTGTGCTGTGTGCTGTGTGCAGTGATCTGACGAGGAAAACGGGAAGCAGCTTTTATATTCGGTAGCTAGGCTCGTTAGCGATTGAAGAAAAAACTAGAGGACAGGAAAGGAGCTTAGCTACCAGATGCCAAGTCATCCTGCCTATACCTTAATTATTCTTTAACTCATGAAAAGGCGGAGCCAACATAAGAAAGCGTTGGTTCTTTTTACCCTCCACTCCCTTGGGACAGGGACCAGTGCCCAGACAAGAAAAGACCAAGAAAAAAAAAAGAACAGAGAAAGAAATATGTATTGGGTTGTCAGAAAAGTCATGACGTATTTTTTTCTATGTTTTTCTTTGCAAAAATGTGTCATGACTTTTCCGACAACCCAATAATTCAGTATCCTTAGGCTGTTCCACACCCCTATACGCTCTCTGGAGTTAGTGCGACACTGGCCACACATTTGAGTGATAACACAATCAAGGAAGGTTACCTCATCTCGCTGACTTTCCCCTGTGTCCTCTGAGGCTGGAAACATTGGTGGTTTGCTCCATTACTCTTATTTTATCACCGGTTAGCTGTTTCCCTTGTTCCGGACTCTGTCTGAGCTCCTTTTCATATGTCTGTTTTTCAGCTCATAGAAAGCTATAAAAATGGAGGCAGTCTGCTCATTCAGGGACCAGACCACTGTTCACTCCTTCACCACGCAGCTAAAACCGGCAACGGGGAGATTGTGAAATATATCCTTGACCACGGTGAGTAGGCACAGTGACCCCAGGATTACTTATCCTTGAAATAGACCGAATTTTCTAAGTTGACTTTCACCCAGAATGGCGGGAAGGGCTCTCTAACTTTTAGCTGACTCTCCCTGCTTATTTGAGGGACCTGCGATTGCAGACCGCTGACCCATATGGGTAACCTTAACCAACCGATTCATAGAAATGATTTTCATACCAAGGTCTCTGCAGGGTATTTGGGTGCGAGGTCATTACAAAATAAAAGACTGGCATAATATGCCTTATGGTTTGGGGAAGAGCGTTTGTGTTTTGGGAAGTTCACTGGTTGGGACTCCGTACTTAATCTGTAGTCGATCATCCTGAGGATGGATGAGTGTATTTTTTCCATCTTTCTAGTTATTTATTTATTTGTTTGTTTGTTTATTGTTGTTGTTTGAATCTCATTCCTCTTTTCAACTCAAGTCACACTTTATTCTCTTCGGAAACGTCCGGTAGTCTCACATCCTCTGCGATGGCCAAGCTCACCCCCTAGGCAGCTTCCTACCTGGGTTTCTGATTTGCGGTTAGGACATTTGCTAGAAGCTGCACACACATTAGCACCCAAGCACCAAATCTTGACCATGACTTTCAGCTTCCCATGTTTGTTTATAGTGTTTCTAGGATTAAAAAAAAAAAAAAACAGGAATAAGGGAGGGGGATCTGCCTGACTTGGCTGTTTTTGAGGGAGAAGGAAAGGAATAGTCACTTGCTCTGACAGAGATCTTGGAAGGCTTTCTGTGAGCCTGTGGCCTACCCTCTTTGTATCCAAATTCAGTCTGTGAATGATAACTACATTAGTAGGCATTCACATTCCTTTTTTTTTTTTTTTTTCAGCTGAGCCATCCTGCCGCCTGTTGGCAGCTCAGCGGCTGCTCAGCTCAGGCTGGGACTTGAACCACTGTTGCTCAGAGCTCAAACTCTTGAGCGAGCTCTTAACCAACTGAGCCACTCAGCCGGCCCCACATTCCTTTTTGATGCTCTTTTTATTCAGCAGATGTCTTCTTTCATTCATTAATTCACTCATTCATTCATTCATTCATTCATTCATTCAATAAACACTTATTTGTGGTGTGCCTAATAGGAACTACCTGTTATAGACCAGCACACATACAAAATAAAATACAGTCACTGTTTTCAAGCAATTGAAAGCTAAAGAAAAAATAGAATCATATGCATAATTAAATTTAAAACCGTTGTATATAGATGTTTTAAGTCCTATAGTAAAGCCACAAATAGATAACATAACTACCATTTTTCAAGCACGTGTGATAGGCCAGATGCTTATACTAAACCTATCTTATTATCGAATCTTTCCAAGGACCTCGTGTGGTAGATATCAGAATGTCAGTCACATTAGACTCACCTGCTTTGTCTTCAGTACCTGCCCATCGTGAAGAGTTTGCTTGAACTCTTGGCCTGAATTAGGGGAGCAAGAATGGCTTAGGAAAAGCAAAGGGGTTCAAGTAGGGTGGTGATCATGAGAGGATTTCTTTCCCCCTTGTGGTCTGGGCTGGGTAACCCCAAGCCTACCTGCCCTGGGAAGCCTAGTTGGGTAAGCTGTATTCCTCAAGCTGCCAATAAGTGGTGGCTGTATTTCATCTACCACCCTTCCTTACGCTTCATTTTCAACTGAAAATGATGACTGTACCCTCTCGATATCCTGAATACTGCCTCACCTCAACTCCTCTGGAGCTCTGCTCTTCTCTTTTCCTTGGTTCTGAGTCCTATGGTTGCTTAGCAACAATAATTCTTCAACTTGGCAAGTTTATAAACAAGGACAGTTCCCCCACCCCCACTTTTTATTTTTAGCATAACCGTGTCCCATGCAAAATTTGGGACATACACTAAAAACAAAACCAAAACACCCGCTCTCCTTTGTCGAGTCGCCGCTGGAGGATCAATTATGAGGCCTGAGATGATATTACCAGCACGCTGTAGATTTTCTCTCCCCACGCTACTACTTCTCTTTCCACAGCCTGAAGTAAGAGGGCCTCTAAAAGCCCCTGCAGCCCCAGCTCAAAGGGTGGGAGTTTTCTAACCCCAAGTGGAGATCAGTACATACATGATTTACCTGGAATGAAATCCAGCTGGCATATTAGTCTCTTAGTGCTTTGACCAAAGCCAGACATTCTGTCACTAAAGTGATTTCTCTTCGCCCCCGAGTCCAATAGTTTTCTCTGTCCAAACTGAAGGACACCAAGGAGTTGATTCATTTCTTGGAGGGAAGGCACTTATTTTTGCAGGGTTTTTTTTGTTGTTGCTAGATTTTGTAAGTCAGTTGGTTTAAAAGTCATGACGCATTTTTGCAACGAAAAACATAGAAAACATACGTCATGACTTTTCCGACAACCCAATATTTATTCTCATGAGAAAAATACCCTCAGTTTCCTGCGGTCACCCTAACTTCACTCACAGGTAAATGAACAGTTCCCATGGTCACAGAAGGCACCCTACACCCTCCGTGTCTCGCAGGATCTCTGACTGACTGGTAGATCCCTGAGAGAAAGACCATAAAAAGAGACGCACAATCAAGCTCTTCTGTTGACAATACAATCTTATTATGCGCTACAGTCCAGGGATCACCGCCTGATGGGTGGCAATTTGTAAACTTTTAGCACTATGGTCAGATAATGGAAACTAAATTGCAGTTGATTTTTATTGGAATTAGCATTTATCATTAGCATTTAGCAATGCCTGATAGGCATTGCCAATTTCATGCTTAACATTGATCTCATTACATCTATTTATTCAGCAACATGGACATCAAATCTTTTGACACAATCAACCTAATTCCCTAGGTTCCTTAAGAGCTAACCACTTCAGCTCAACCCTTTTCATTGTTGTTTGTTTTCATATCTTTAGTTGCTGATGCAATTTATATTAACCTGTGCCCTTTGGGATTGAAACTATCTTTGCAGAACCATTCATCCCTTTTTTTAATATTTATTTTAAGTGAATAGTAACCCCTTTAAATTATAGTGTTCTTGAAGTCAGGGGCAAGGACACGCAAAACATAACCCTTTCTTACTCTATAATCATCTTAATGTGATCTCCACTCAGAGAAAGAACCTCTCCTAATTTAACACCGATGGATGATGACTCTGGAATTCCCCTGGTCTGACCAAGAAAAGAGCCTTTTTCAAGAGGCCTCCAGGAGGTTGGAATTTGGGGATGTATTCCAGACAACGGCATTGTACTTATACATTAGCATCTGACTTGCGGTAGATGGGTCTGGTCAGTCTGAATGTACGCAAGTGAAAAAATTTTGTGCGTTGGGTCAAAGATCAAGAGAGACAGTCCTCCTAATCTCGAATGCTGCAAAATCTCTTGAAGTTTTAGTTTTTTTTAAAAAAAAATTGGTTCAAGTCTTTCCTGCGGCTTCATATGAGATTCATGCCAAAGACCTGACTTTAAAGATGGCTTTCATGACAAGGATGCTGACAAATCAGGGGACCTTTCCAAGCGTCTTGACGGAAATCGTATGTGACCTATTTGCTTACTGTGTCCTTACTCTCCAGTGAGCCCCTCTCTGCCCCCCTCTGCTATGCCCTGTTCATTGGGCATATGTGGTAAGCCGTGGGATCCCCAGTCAGGAGGACACCGCCTGAACAGGAGTCCTGAGAGATTATGCTCCCAGACACACATTCAGCAATGTATTTCTCTTCTAAAGGCTCTTTTTAAACCAAGCTGAGGGGCCGGAGGACAGGAGCTGTCTGCTGTGTGCTGAAAAGCCACAGGAGGTTCCAATTTTTTTCCTTCTGCATCTTCTAGGGGACATCTTGTCTCAGGTTCACAACATCCTGCTTTCCTTGATGAAACACTGGAATTTGGACCTTTGGAGGGCAGAAAAGAGAATGGAGGAGGGCGGAGCTAACAATTCCACCCGGGCAGGGTGGAGAGCAAAGGGCGCCCTGGGCTTCCAGCTGAGATTGCCCCTTAGGTTCCTGCTTTTCAGCTCCTTTCAGCCATCTTTTTTACCCACTCCCTTCTCCTCATTTTAGCTTCCAAGAGACTTTTGTGTTGTTTGTCTTTTACCACCCTGCACATTGTTTGCTCTTTTGTTTTTATTCTCCCCACTCCCACCCCTTTGCCCCCTACCGTGTTTCCTGATAGAAATCTCACTCATGCATTTCCTTTTTGATTTCAATGGCTTATTTTGTCTTCCCTTGTTTTTTTTTCTGCCTTCAGTCTTTCTTTTCTTTCTTCCCCCTTTTTTTTTTTACCCCCCTTTTTCTGCCTCTGGTCCCAAGAGAAACGACCCCCATCCCGCTGGGACAGGATGACGGTGCTGTTTGAGTTCCCAGTGCCAGCTCTCCCCACATCTGTGCAGCTTTTGTCCTGGGCCGCAGGACGATTTGGAATGGTCTGCTGGCAGCGTCAGGGAGACTAATGGGAAATGAGGGCTGGAGCGAGGGAGGCCATGGGGAGGTGGAAGGAATAGCAAAGGGGATTTGGATGCGTTGGTGTGGGAAGTAAATGAAAGGATGCATGTGACATGCCCGATAGAATAAGAGACAATTTTGATAAAGTTGCATCAGTAAGAACTGGGGTATCTGATGGACGAGGCTATGGAAGGAATGCTGGCCAGCAAACCTGCAATTCTAAAGGCTTGACTACCCAACACACTGTTCACTCTCTTGTGTTGGGAGATATGCAAAGTGTTTCTTCCTTTTGTCTTCTCCAGCCTTCATTAGAATACTGATGTGTATACCCCCTTAATATATTTTCCGTTCTCTTATGTTTCAGACCATTTCCCCATATAGCACAGTCTTTTGAATCCACGTTCCATTTATAGAAATTTCTCTGAGAAAAAAATAGGACGTTGGCTGGGATCCACATTGATTTTAAATGTCTTCCATTCATTCACTTAAAAAATTAATTCTGTCCCACATGCTTTTGTGGGGGAAAATGTTATAGTAATAATCACTGCTAATCTTTATTATTCAAAGTGCTTTGTATGTGTGAACACATTGAATGCTTACGACAACCCTACACAGTAAGTTCTCTTATCTCTATTTGACAGGTGGTAAAAACTGAAGCATAGTGAAGTTGGTTTACTTGCCAAACTCATACACAAGATACGGTATCTGCCCTCCGTATTCCTAAAATTTTGCAAAGGGAAATGATAAACATGCATAAACAACCAGAGTACAGGGGAGGCAGATCTGTGTAGCACATGCAGGCTCCCAGTGATGGCTGGTCCCGGGCGTGGAAGGGCAGTGACTGTCCTTCTGAAGATTTTATGGGGAAATTTGCACTCATATCCCTTTGATAGGGATTTAAGGGTTGCTTGTGGTGCAGGTCAGCTATTGGATGAAGTGTGGACACTGTATTAAACCCTGGAAGGGACAGGGAGCCCAGACTTCCTTTTATATTCAGGGAACAATGAGTTCTGACAATTTAATGGTATTCCTCCAGGTTCCTTAGGGGAGATGGCATGGTATCCACAATCAGAACATATGTTTACGTAAAATATAAACTAACCCCCAAACCTGCCTCTTTCCCATTGATATATATTGAAAGAATTTCATTATCTTTATTTTCTCTCTTTTTTCCTGTTCTCTCCTTTATTAGTGAGACTCCAATTAACTTTCCCAAAACCACAGATATTCTTTTTATATACTTTTTTCTTTAAAGAGAATTTTTGTGGTCTTCTTTGATGATTTTAGTTTATCTGGCCATCCCTGTTCAAATCTTATCTCAATGCGACTCATCGGTACAGGGTTCTGTTAAACAGCATGATGTACTATTAACAACCACTCCTGTTGGGTCCCTGCAGGTAGAGTAGGGAGGGAAACTACAGCCTGTCACTCAGCCCCCTCCTTGTTGCCTCCTCTGCAACCCCTTCTTGCTAGCACAGTGTAAGCACAGTTACTTTAAAGCAGGTTATACAAATTATTAGAAAATGTACCTGCGCTATTCAAAAGAGCTCCCCGCTCCTGTCTGTCATCAGCCAGCTGCCACCCTTCCCTCTTCATTGGCGATTGGCCTGTTCAAAATGTCTGCTGTTTTGTGATGGTGTGTGTTGCGGGGAAGATGAGGAAAGTTAAGTTTGGGTTAATGAAGTCCCTCATTCCAGCGCCGTTGCTGAAACCTCACACTGGAGTTTCTTTAGCTGTGAATTAAGAGCAAAAGTATCTTGTTTTAGTATCAGCACTTCTTTCTTGCATCTCTGTCAGCTGCAGAGGAGAAAAGGAGAGAGGGGGAGATGGTACACAGCTACAAGCATGCCGGACTCACGGACTGGATCACCAGCTCTGGAATTGTTCTGGGTCGGCTGCATGTATGGGGATTCTTGTCAGAAATTTGAGGAACAAGGTCCTTTCTCTTCCTTGTCCCCACTGCCAGAGTATCTGACCACTGCCATTTTAGCACAGATTACACTGCTCGGTGCCCTGTCACTACGTGGAGGCCCGGACCCTGGAGCCCATGCACCCACCGGAGGTGCAGCTCCGAGGGTACAGAATGACAGTGCTGAATAAACAAGGAAATGAGCAAAGCCTCATTGCCTAAATATTTGTCTAAATAGCAGGAATGATGGCAACAGAACTACTAGTGAGGCTGGGCTATTTGTGTTCACAGAATTCCTTTCAAAATGAGTGGCTTGAAAGATTTCCTGAAGGTGGCAGGGGGTCTGTGAAAGGACCACTGGGCACTGTAAGCCTTCTTGCTCTGATATTGTGGAGAATGTCCTGTCAGCAACTGAATAGGCCCAGAGGACTTGGTTCTCACGACATATAATTTGAGTCAACATGGCGTCGAATGCCTGTGGGACTGAAGCAGCCCTTTGACTCCTTCCTTCACTGATGTTCCGACATCTTGACTTAGTGTGACCTGCTGTGTTGTGTCAGAGAAGAGGACACTTCATAATGTCTAAGCTTTAGGCATTGCCTGTGGTGTGCCAGCTACTGTTTGAAGCACATAACTTGTATTAACTTATGGAACTTCACAGCAATTTTATTAGATAAATATTCTTATCAGTGTTACTTTACATAGGTGACAATCAAGGGTCTCAGAGAGCAAATCAACAGGATCCTATTTCTAAGTAAAATGTTCAGTACCAAGAACCATGTTTGGCACTTCCAAGCACATTTTTTTATTCATTCAACCAAATATTTAAGCATCTGCTTGGCACCAGGCTCTATGTCATGCACCAAGGAAGGACATAGTGGGGGACATGTCATAGACTACAAGCTCAAGGGGTTTCCCAGGATCTAGTTGTAAAGAGAGACATCAGCAGGTGATTTTAATGTGGTTTCCATGTCATGATCAGTAAGGTGATCAAATATCCGCACTTGCCTGGGAGAGTCTCAATTTGGATCATAAGCTGTATTACCCGCCCAGTTATAGGACGTCGGGCTACTACACAGAGCAAGAGAGCACACGGGCAGGACAGTTCGTGCACTTCTTGGATGGGGGTCCTAGTGGATTTCATGGAGGAAAGGTGTGTCCAGGGATGCCTGCAGGCTGCGTAGGCTAAGGGATTCGGGGAAGACCAGGGAGGAAGGCAGTGGTAAGAAAGGGAGGAAGGTGGACATTACAAGCATGTTTGCAGATTGAATGAATGCATTAGTGAACAAATAAAACCTTGTGAATGTGAAAACTCACAGCATCGTTCAACGCCAGATGAAGCATCTATATGCATTCGATGCATAGGCATAACTTTTCTTCCAGGTCTTGGAAGGGAAATTTTATGAAAAATAGAATTTTCCCCTATTTCTGAAGTAAGGATATTAGACTGCATGGTATCTATGGTGCCTTATAGCTTTCAAGTGGTACTGCATGAGACCCCATCCCAAACTGCCTCCCCCTGGATCACAAGAAACCATCTTTAAAGTCCACCTGATTGCTCCCTGACCCCTAAGGTATCCACTCAATTATTTCTCTTCTATTCCAATTGATTTTATTTCTTCACCTTGATTGGAAGCTTCTTGAAGGCAGAGACCGTATCACTCATTTTTAGCTCCCATTCTGCACATTATAGCTGCTGGTGATTGGAAGATGGGTGAGGGGGAGGTAGAAGAATCCTTCCTTTTTTTGGAGGGGGGGAAGAGGAGGCCTTATTATCCCTATTACCAAGTGCTCTTTCTGAAGCAGCTTTCCAAGGCATTTTAATTATATGGGTACAGTGTGTGTGTGTGTGTGTGTGTGTGTGTGTGTGTGTGTGTGTGTGTGTGTGTGCTTGGTTAGCTTTTGGAGGGGGGGAAGAGGAGGCCTTATTATCCCTATTACCAAGTGCTCTTTCTGAAGCAGCTTTCCAAGGCATTTTAATTATATGGGTACAGTNTTCTGAAGCAGCTTTCCAAGGCATTTTAATTATATGGGTACAGTGTGTGTGTGTGTGTGTGTGTGTGTGTGTGTGTGTGTGTGTGTGTGTGTGTGAATGGTTAGCTTTTGAACTTATTTCTGATGGGCATTTGCTTTCCTCTTGTTTAGGACCTTCCGAGTTATTGGATATGGCAGACAGCGAAACGTGAGTGTTGCCTTTCGTTACATAGTCTAGATGATTTTCTTCAGAACAGATCTCGGAGAAAAATGCAGTCTATAGGGCACACAATAGATAATTTTCATGGCAGTGATAAAAAGTCCACTTTCAGTTGTATTTATAACCGTGCAGGGCTAATCTCCTAAATAAAAAATGACACGATAAAAATTGATGGCAAGCATCAGAATGCTTGCACTCACGGTCATTGCTAGTCATCATTTAGTGCTTCCTATAGGCAAGGTACTTCTGCACTGGTGCCTCCCGGACTGCTGAGAAGGCTAAATAAACTCATGTACCTTTTTTTACTCTTTTTCACCGGGGGGTTGTGAGAAAATGAAGCCCTCAGGCCCTAAGGCATCTTTGCATGTAATGAAACATCTTTGCTGAGTCTAGAATGGAGCAGTGTATATAATACAACCACTGGAGGACTGAGAACATAGTAACTCCGATCCTGTTTATGTTCCGAGGTTCAGATCAGGAATTCTGGTGCAGAAAGTTATCCTCTCTGGAATGATCTCCAAACAGATCATGTTTGTTTTCAACTTTCTTGTTTCTAGGGCAGTAAAATAGCTACCACTCCCCAAGTAGGAACAAAGAAATGGCTAAACATCTCACCCTGAAAACCATATAGAACCACTAGAGAACTTCAGAGAAATTCGAGAAGGGATGAAGTATGGGCAGGGGTGGGGTGGGGTGGGGAGTGGCTAAGGAGGTATGGGGAGGAAAAGTAGAATTGAATGAAATGGAGGATGAGAGAAGGGGTATGGCCATGAGTTACTAGACTTGGAAGAAACTGTCCACAGAGCTTGTCCACATACCGCACGTCCTATTGGCGAGGTTGTCACTTACTCCACTTAGCCTTCCCTAAGGACTGCATGTGATTTTCCATGAAACACTTTGGCCTGAAGTGTCTTTTCAATTTTGGACTCAGTGGAAACATACTCCTCCCTACACTGCCTGTTAGAGGGGCGGAAATAACCCCTGTCCCTTGCCCGCTTCCCATGCTGAGTGGCTGGCCTGCGGCACACTGCAGGCTGGACACAGCTCTGTGTCCTAACTCTCCTAGCATCTCACTGTGCCTCCAAGCTGCCCTCCCCTCCTTCCCGCCACTGGCGTGGAATCCAGTAGGCAGGACAGAGAGGGTGCTGTCCTGGTTCCTTCCAGTGGAGTTCCCAGGAGCTATTCCTCCGAGGCCCAGATGGTGGTCCACTGGGTGACAGGCCAGTGTTCCTGCATCACGGCTTCCCCTGAGCTTCGTCCCTCACGCTCTGCCCAGATGTACCCGCAGAGAGAATTGCTTCGCAGCGTTCAGACGCACCTACACACATCAGTCTGTTAATAGTGCCATGGAGTCTTCCCTAAATCAGACATTAGCACTTTCCAACAAGATCACTCAGCCTCATTAACCAACGCAGTTTTGAAAAGAGGCTGGAGTCAGGTATTATGATGAGTTGATGACTAACTCAAGGCGTTTCGAGGCCCCCGTCACCCACCTCCCCAGCACATGCCCTGCCTGCACTGATGGTCTCAGCGGCAGATCGGGTGAGAGGCTGAGGAGCACAGAACATCGGCAGCAAGGGAAGGGCTAGGAGGCCACCCTCGCCCCCTCCCCACCGCCTCCACCCGCACCCCCGCCCCCAGCCCCTTGATGGGTGGTTTCCCATTTCATCTTTGATTTAGGGGTGAGACCGCCCTGCACAAGGCTGCCTGCCAACGGAACCGGGCTGTGTGCCAGCTTCTGGTGGACGCAGGAGCATCTGTGAGAAAGACGGACTCCAAGGTAACTTGATGAGCGAGTGCAAGCATCCACCCACTGGGCAAGATCGCAGGCACCATTGCCTTCACTTGTGCTCAAAGGCATCCTTTCTGTGCTTATGGAAGGGCCCGGAGTTCTGGAAAAAAGAGGAAAAAATAAAGTGCTTCATTTAGAGAAACTGCAGTTTAAATGTATAAGCACAAAGAGCGGGGGGCGTGCGTGCCTACGGGGCTTTCTAAACCTCTGAACGTGCTGACCTGGGGACTCGGGGTTTTCCTCCTACTGAATGCCAGCAGCCAGGTTGCAGGAAGATGAGGTTCAACACCCCAGGAGGGGGTAAGAGCCGTGTTCAAAGACACTGGCCTGGCCTCTGAGAAAAGACCCTTTGGGATTTCTCCTTTGGCGGCTTACTCCAGGGTAGCTTAAAATCTGTGATTTCTGTGGCCCCGTATATGGGTGCCAAATTGACTACCAGTCACTTCCCAGGATGGCAGGTCAGGCTGCTGCATAAGTTGTTCCAATGTACTGAGAGCACCAAGGAAAGGGTTGAAAGCTGAAGTAAAGGAGAACCTGAGGTTTAGCAGCATTGACCTAGGACTGCCGCCCATGAGAGAGAAGAGTTAATACAGATCAGCCCCACAGAGGAGCCTGATCAGCTCTGAGAGGTTTCAAGCTCCCTGTATAGACTCCAAAAAAAAGGACAAGCCACTTAACTGCAGAGTGGCCAAGGAGAATTTTAATATATACCGGGGGAGGGGGGGTGTCCAAAAAATGTATCCAAGTGGACACTTGGGTCAATGTTGCTCAAGCAGTAGTTCGCCGTCATCAGAAGTGTCTGGACGCTGATGGTAACCACTTGAGCACCTCTTGTCATTGCAGAAGTCAAATGTGACTTCTATTCATCTTTTGTTACCGGTGTATATTGAGTATTACAATTTTAATACAGTTTTCCTTTCTTAAAATGTGTATACATTTTTTTGGCACCCTCTGTAAATGAGGACTTCGTTGAGCAAGTACCCAGTACCTTACATGTTGGGCCAATGAATGTAGCCAATAAGCGTAGACAAATGCTTTAGAAGCCTAATAAAGACTTAAGCCCCATTATACTCAGTTAAGTGATGACGATCTACTGATGTGCAGTTTTGCCCTAGTGGTTCCCCAAACTGCAGTGCACATTGTGCAGTAACTTTCTTGTGTGGGCCTCTCTTTCCTTTCTGAGTCAGTTCTGAGCCATTCGCAGCGTGTGACTTGCCATCCCCCTTCCATTACAGCTTCCGGGCTCCTCGCCCTCTGACTCAGGTCCCTGGCTGACTCCCTAGGCTTCCAACCTATTAAGCTGTGTCCTGGTTTCTAGCTGGTCTGTTACCTGTCTGGTTAGCTAATTGGGTGTACGATTTCAAATGGCAGATAATTGCCCAAGGAGATACTCTTCCCAGATGAGAGCTGCACTCACATGCTTTGATGTGTGACCTGGTTGAGAAACATAAACCGTGCAGGGAAGATAAAGGGAGGCTATGATCTGAGGTAGAACCGGCCTTGCTGGGGCCACTCAGATGGCAGAAGGGTGATTGTCTGTTTACTACACAAAAGGCTGGCCTTACACTCGACTCAGATAATGAAAAGAAAGAAAAGAGCAGTGTGAAGCGATGGCTCACTTTCATCTTTCTAAGCTTCTGAGTCAGATAAATGGGCTCAGTGGTCCTTGAGGTCTCTTCCTATCTTGTGTTATGTATGTGTGTGCTTTTTTTTTCCAAAACACAAACAACTTTCTTATTTTTATGATTATCAATATAGTGCATTCTCCTATAGAAAACTCTAGCGATGCAAAAAATGCAAAAAAGGTAAAAATAGAAAATCCCATAGTCTAGACATACATATTATTAAAATTTTAATGATCTCTCCTCTCATGTGGGTATGCCTGTTTTTCTTTCTCATTTTTTTTAAATAGGTAAAGTCATACTGTACATGCTATTGTATGTCTTAGCTGTTCACCCAACATTATGTTCTAGAGATCTTATCATATGAAATAGCATGCTTCATGCTTTTCAGGAACCTTTAATATTTCTATTCTGTAATTTGATGTTAGGTGAAAGCTGAATATGACAATTATCGGATTTTCTGGGATTTTTTGGAGAGAAGCATTATCTTGAGAATTTGTTTTGAGATAGAACAGTCCTTTAAATATCAGCTCAACGGCCCACCACAGTCCATCTCTCTGACTGTTCAGAAGCTATAGGAATTCCAACCTTGTTAATATTAAAGTAAACACAAGATAGTCTAATACTGTAAACAAGTTGAATAAAATTATAGTAGGAACTTGAAGCTAGTGGTTAAATATGAAGTCCCAACTAAAGTAAAATTTTAGAAAGAGTTCAGAGCCATGGTTACCTCCCTTCTATCCTCTACCCCACATACTCCTGGCAGCCACAATAATCAGGCTTAATTGAGGTGGACACCCTCTATTGCAATAGCTGTGTTGGAGGCTGAGAAGTTTTTGATGACTTGTCATACTCATGAGCATTTATACATAGAGCTATTTCTTTGGTACAGTGATCACAATGTGTCTCTACCCTTTTCTTAGAACATAATATCACATATTTAAACAGATAAAACTATATTATTAAACAAAAATTAGAAGTTTCCAAGACTGTTAAGTAATATCCGTAAGCTATCAAAAGAATGAAGCCCCTCCATCCTTTTACGGCTGATTACTGTTCATTGGCCTCATTTCAGAAATATTGTGTGTGCGTGTGTGTGTACATACAAGTATACATAAAGCATTGCAGCATGCCACAAGACATTACACAATCATTTAAAATGAGGTAGAAGAACATTTAATGACATAAGAAAAGCTTTGATATATTGTTAAGTGAAATAGAACACTATGTAACAGTATATAAACACAGTAGGATTTTATTTTTACCAAAAATAATTATATAGAGAGCTATAGAAAAAGCCAATAGTTAGTCTATAGAAGATGAAAAACGGTTACCGTAGTGTAGTGGAATTACTGATCATTTTTATTTTCTTCTTTATGCTTTTCTTTCATCCCAAGATTTCTTTAATCAACATCCATCACTGTGACAGTCAGGAATTAACTCGCTTTTTGGAGAGATGAGAGAGCTCTAAACTGGGGAGAACATAACTGAAGTCTTTGAAACCAGCGAAGAAACCCTTTAGATCAGCAGTTCTCAACCTTCCTAATGCCGCGACCCCTTAATACAGTTCCTCATGTTCTGGTGACCCCCAACCATAAAATTATTTTTGTTGCTACTCTATAACTGTCATTTTGCTACTGTTATGAATCGTAATGTAAATATCTTTTTGTTTTCCGATGGTCTTAGGTGACCCCTGTAAAAGGGTCGTTCGAAACTATTGCACTGTGTTGTACAGCTGAAACTAATTCTAAAAAATGTGTATTTCATAATAAAAATAATAATAATAAAAAATTTTAAAAAAGAAAAAATGAAAAAAAAAAGGGTCGTTCGACCCCCAAAGGGGTCGCGACCCACAGGTTGAGAACCGCTGCTTTAGATTGTCATGACCAATGCTTCTTCTCAGATTTTGCTTGTGGCTTCCCAAGGTTTAGTATAATAAATAAAAAGGGTCCCAAACTAGAAATCAGAATTCCTGCTCCCCTATTTATCTATTCAGTGATTTTTACCTACCTCCTTCTGAAAAGGATCTGGATTCTGAAACTCACTGTGGTACCTTGTGCCCTGCTGTGTCCTCAGTTAGACTCTGTGACCCTCAGTTTCCTTACACGTAAACCCCACCTGTCAAAAGCGATGGTGTCTTTCTCTTGAACTTACCTATCTCATGTCTTCCACGTGATGCTCCTATCGGATAAGAGATCTGCAAGTATCCTGTGAACTCTAAAACAGTAAACATGGGAAGATCCTTATGAGCGAGTCATCTCTGAGTATTCTGTTTCTGTGAATTTTTTTTATTTTTTTTTTATCTCACCCTGAGTGTTTGTGTCTCTTCCTTTTTTCACTATGATCTATAGGGTAAGACACCACAGGACAGAGCACAGCAGGCCGGAGACCCAGATTTGGCCGCTTACCTAGAAAGCCGTCAGAACTATAAGGCCTTCGGCCATGAGGATCTGGAAACTGCCGTTTGACCCTGGTAGACGGGCCAAGAGAACCTGAGCGAGCATATCACCTGTGCCCTCCCGGCGATCGGGCAGCTCCCCTGGAAGAAGCTGATGGAATCCATAAGTCTGTCTCTCTCCTGCAAGAACCTGAGACCATGCCACCAGTTTTTAAGGGCTACCAAGATGTACACCAAAACGCGATAGCCCACGGAGGACGAGGCCGGATACCTGGTGGCATCCTTATTGCTTCCAGCAAGTAGCATGAACTTCAGTGTTCATCTGTATAATTTATTTTAAAGATTCAAAGGATGTTTGTATCAACGGCACTGCTCCCTCCTTTCCCTAGGCACCCCTCTTCCCCTGAACTGCACCATTCTACTACCCACCGATTGAAAGAATGCGATATGACGTGTTCTTTTACCTTCAGACCTTAAAGACCACAAGATTCTCTGAAGGTCTTGCAAACCTCTCTGGATGACCTGCAGAAATATGACTGTAAAACTGCTTCCATGTCCAAGACTAAATATCCCAAGTCGACTTAGTGACTTTTTGCATGTCTGCCCTCCCCAATCCCTTTTCATCCTGCAGGAGCTGGGGAGTGCCTCATGGACAATGTCAACCTGTACGCTCTGTCTCTGAGGTAGGGCGAGGTGGCATGGGAGTTGTCTGTTCTCAGAGGGACCTCAGAGAGGTCACAGTGGGGGCAGGTCACGGGCTGTTGCCGACGTCCACAGAGGACTGACTCGGCTTGGGCTGTTTGCGAGCTCTGTACTGCCTATGTGTAGCCATCTTTGCCTTTTGCTGCAATCGAGGTGAGCAATGGATGACACAAAGGCCTGTCGCTACTTTGCAGAACCACTCCACTTGAAGTGCTGTTGCAATTGCAGAGCAGAAAACCGTGTGTGGGAACTGTGGTTACAGGAAATGGAGTTCCATGGCAGCGTTTACTTCTAGACTTTTTTTGAGCGATAATGGAAAGCAGGCTAATGGAGTTGAAATAAAACAGCAGAAGCAAAAGTAGCAACATATGTCAAAATAACTCACTTAAGTGAGAAAACAGTTGCTGGAATGCTACACTGAGGCTAATAAGTATAGACTCTTGGATACAGTGGTGAGAGGGGTCCCATTTTCGGCTTTCCTTCGAAGTTTTTTATTTTCATTTTCCCAAGTACGCCTTGTCCCCAGGACAAAGCCTTGCTTTATGAGTTCCACTGCCAGATTTTGGGACATGTCGCCATTTCTGGTAGATGCCTCGCCTATTACTTGTCAGATCCCAAGGTCATACCTGATAGCGCTACAGACCCATTTTCATGTATGGAGTTGTCACATATATTCTTTTTTTCTGGAAAGTTCTTCATGCAAAACACTGTGGGAGCCCAATCTCCCTGGCAGCAGAATTGCAACTTCTCATCCTGCCACAGATTACTTGGTACCTACAAGTACCTCTCTTAGGGACTCTGTGACACCTAAAATGTTAGGAGAAAAAGTCTTCTAACTCTGGGCGAAAATATCTACGTGACTTGGGTATAAGTCCAAAATGGAAGTGGGTGACCAAAGGTTTTGCTTCGGATTAAACTGATGTCTTTGGAGCTTTCTTCCATTTTGCCCTTAGACACAAGCAAAGTGCTTCTTTAGTGTTTCTGCATGTGAGCATAAATGACCGTTTCTCTACATTTAATTTAAAGGTCCAGTGGGGACACATTGCTTATCTAAATCACATTTTAGTCACGTATCATATTGAAAGTGCAGCTATGATATGCTATTAAGCAGGAATAGCCTCTCAGTGGATGAGGGCGTAAGTCTCTCCGTTGTTTCAAAATCAAGTGGCTGGCATTATTTTCAGCCGCTGGCGGAAGGGTTGGTTGTGAGTAATCTATTTCCATATATCAGTTTTAGAAATGGAACTAACTATCTTTTGGGTTTTATGGTGAGGGAAGGAGAGATGGCGGTAGATTGTTTCCAGAAGCTGGAAAAAAAAAATATGCTCCAGGAGAATTTAATCGCTGGGCTTCTGCAGGGAGTTTTCAATTGGTGGGACTGTCAAGGAGATGTTGTGATGACAGAAATATAATCCTTAAAACAGACTGAATTCTGGCTTTGAATGGTGCCTTCCATTCCCCAGACTGAGCTAAACACTTGGCCACGCAGCCAGTTACCCAGCTGCCATTGCTGGGATGAAGGGTTTTATTTTCACCAACTACCATCTCATATTTCTCTCTGATGCTTCCAAGCAGCCCAGAGAAAATTTAGGGTACAAGTGGCCATGGGCCAATTCAAATAGCTCCAGTTGAAGTTACAAGTAAGTCTCTGGAATGAAAATAGATGACGTACTGACTGCTGTAGGGGTCCTAGTACATTTGGAAATCGTTCCTAATAAATAATAATAGTAATAATAAAGTGTTAGAGTCCTACATTATTGAAGAGGAATGATAGATGACCAACACATATATATCTTTGAAAAAGCAAACACCCCTCCCCCCCCACCCAGGATTTGGGCTTTCCAAAAAAAAGAACATCAAAAATAAGCAGAACAGTTACATATTTCATGGCTCCAACATTAAATCTACCACCTGTAGCATTTGATTTTTTCATTGATCATTACATGTGACAGTCCTGGGCTTTGGAAAGGGCTAAGGCCATATGCTCCAGGAGTTTCCAGCTCAACTAAAATCCGTAGTACCCCCCTTTTCATGGGCTCTCAGGAAGTAGAGAAGCAAATGGTCTGGCTGTGGTCTGAAAACCCACATAACTTTAAAAGACAGAAAACTATATGCCTATAGAAATATCATTTTCTGCAGAACCGACTGAGCCAGTGCTCAGCCAACATTCCTCTGTGTTTGGCTGGAAGAGGCCCCGTGTTGGGGCCCTGTCTACTCTGGGATTCCATTTTTCAGGGAGGCTGAAAGAGGGGTGAGAATGGAGAGTTATGAAAAGACACCGTGATAGAACCTAAAAGGTAGTCATTTTTGAAGCTTTACATTCCAGTAGGACACATTTCAGGAAAGAGAGCCCACTCAAGCTGTGCTTTATTGTATTCAAGGACATGATAAAGAACAGAAGCCAAGGAGGAAATAAACACCGCCTCTGGGAATTTCACTTTGAGAGTTCTGGTTACCTCTGTAGAGGTTACAACCGAAAACCAATGGGATATCTCAAGCAGAGCCTTTGACAGGCCCGTACACAGCCATGACACCCCCGATCGCTCCCTGTCCTTTCCTAAGAGCTGGTTAGTGCTTAGGTGGATCTGTTTGCATTGAGGGCACTCAATAGGTCGTTCATTTTCATTTGGACTGAGTGACAGCTTCTTTGCCCAACGGATTTCTGAAATGGATTTACTCAACTCCTCATAATATCTGTGTCTTTGAAAATGTTGGGCAGCCGTCATTTTTTTTTCCATGTCCATTTTATTTCAAGTATTTAGATTTTTTTTTAATTATAAAAGTAGAACCTGGTCTTTATAAAAAGGTCTAATGCCATCGATGAGTATCACCTGCAAGGTCAAGGTGGTCCCCTGTGATGGCCCAGGGTCCAGTCCCGTGTCCCAGAGACCAACATTATTAGCCGGAATAAACATTGCTGCTTGTAGTTATGTCGGAAGTACTCTACACAGGCAAGCCCCACACACGTAGACATGTATTTATTTGTAGACATATGTGTGTTTATGTACTATAAACCCACATATTGCATAGGTTAAAAAAGAAAACATTTTAGAAGCATGCAAATCATCTGTACATGTATAGTGAACACCAACAGGCAGAGAGAAGGTAGCATAACGTCCATTTTTTCATTGTGGTTTCTCTTATTATCAAGCTTGGTTCTATTACTGCAGCACTCCATGTGCTCGTGACATTTATTATTGCCTGTATCGTAAAATCCAAGACCAAGAGGTCTTGTAATTGTTTCTGTTACTTTCCATGAAGCATGAAACCTACCTGAGCCCAGAGACTTGTCTAGGCTATTTGGGGATCTCAAGTGGAGAGTTTCTTGATGCTTACACCACTTAACAGGACTAACGCTCAATAGGTTGCCTAATGATATTTAATTCGAGCAAGCGCTTGCTAGGAAGGTGTCATAACTTGGATATGGGCTGGGGTCTGAGAAGCTTTTGGCTTCCTTCCAGTAGGAGTAGCTAATGAAATCACTGAAAACGGCATGATACTTTATGCAGTTATGCTATTTAAAGGTAAAATAGATCATTGTTAAAATGTCTCATCATAGCCATCAAATATAACTACGAATGGCTCTACTTAAATGGATTATTTTCATTTTAGGAATAAAAAAATAGAACAGCTATTAAGTTAGAGCGTTTTCTAGTTAATCTTAAGCATTTATTTAGTATAAAGTAGATTCTGCCCAGGTTTTATAGAACCATCTCTAAATCAGTGTTTTTATTCTCTGAATTCCATATTCAGCTGACTATAAATCCTAAAGCTTTTTTTTTCTCTGCCAATCCTCTGGGATTGACTCTGGCCTACCATCCCTTCTCTGTGTCCTAGTTATCCCTCGTCTCTAGGCCCTCCAGTTATCTTACCATGGCAGTGATCCTATAGTAGTAGGATCTTTCTGCCTTTCCTGTCAATAATTCTGTTGTGAGGATGCCAAAATAGTCCCCTGATATTATGCATAAAATGGATCAAAATGGGACATGTGTCCATTTTGCCTGAAGGACAAATAGATGGTGACTGACCTTGATCATCCCACAGAGTTATGACACGCCTTATTCTGAGAAGCAATCTGCCAGGTAGGTTTTGCAAATTTCTTAGTCACATCTTGAGAGTACACAATCATGGCAGCCTCTTCCGCACATCAAATGATGGATTTGCATATGGATGCAAATCCATATGTATGACTGGATTATATCATGTTATAGCCCTACTGGCCCTCTGTGGATTTTAGGCTGTCTCCCCACAGTTTAATGAGAAACCGGAAAAGAGGAGCTAAGCAAGTAGTTGTACTTCTAAACAACCTGTTCTCCCAGGACACTGAGCGTCAGTCATTATACTAGACCCCAAAAGAAGCAGAAATCAATTAATTCTTAGGCTGCTGAAACATTACATTTTAAAGTAGAGATTTGAATATTGGATGGTATCCTCCTGGTGGAAAGATTTCAGAGTCTATATGTCTATTCAGTTATTCAGTCATTCTACCTGCAGTCATGTTTGTGAACCAGTCATACACTCATGTATTTAATCATTTATTTTAAAAATATATTTATCACTTACTCTGATGCAGACACTGTACTAAAGACATGAGAATGAATGCAAGAGAGAAAACTCTTGACTTCAGGGAGCTGGCTGTCTAGGAGAAAAGACAAATTCCAATATGATATGTTCTGTCAAGGAGAACCCCTGGTGTACAAGGGGAGTGTTGCATTGTGGGTTCAATTAAGGCTTGATTGTACCAGTTACTCTTTAGCCAGCAGTGTTTTATATAGTTCTATGGAATATAAAATGAAACTATTAATATGTAAGAGAAATAATGATATTTTGCATTTCCTTCTCCTGGTCTTAAAAATGTATTTGAAACCAAGACTTTAAGATGAGACTTTGAAACACTAAAATAAGAGCAAAAACTCATGTATCCTATAGTTCAAGGATATAACTAGAAAGAATACCCCAAACTTGCAGTGGTTTTTGACTAAATATAAAGAAGATGTATAAATATTATCAAACAGTGGAGTGGGCACACTTACGCAATTTCAGACTCGGCCACGAGGAGTATTTAAACAGTGGACACGTGACCACCTTGAGAGAGATTGTGACCAGGGACCTGTCATCTGAGGGAGCTAGAATTAGATTCTGTGTGTTGTTAGATTTTTCTTTTAAAATGACTTTGTTGAATAGCAGGATTTCATTAGAAGCAATTATGAAAATCTTCACTTTTAATCTTTGAAACATCGCTTTATATGTGAAAGTGTTTAAAATCTTGGGGAGAATGACCTTTAGTTATCTTCTAAGACCTTTTCAAACTAATTAAGCATGGCTTTAAAAGGTAGTGAAAAAGAAAACATCCAAAGGGATATAACTTACTCCAAAATACATCTAGAACATTATGGATTTTGATTACTCTTCTTAGGCATTCTTAAGGCAAGTCCTATTAGAAATCTGTTTAAGTGTCCTTCCAATATAAAAAAGTGCTGCGATTTTGATATTCTTAGAATTAAATGTAATCTAATATAACCGCCAAAGAAAATTCTGCTTGAAAGATATTTGGGAGCCGAGTCAATATACATAAAAGGCAATCATGGCAAAATTCTTGGCTTCTTTTTCTGGCATGAGAATTATAAGGGATAGCTTATCCATAGGAATAAGAAAATGATGAATCTGGGTTTTCCTTATTTTCCAAAGTTTCATTATTTTGAGCCAAATGGCATCTGAAATGGGAACCTTTGATGTTAGGAACAACTGAAACGATCTTGTTTCTCAATCCTTAAGTGAAACACATTTAATTTTCAATAAGAATAGCTTCAACAACTGAAATCTATATCATTTAACATAACAAATTCACTTATTGTAAAAATATTAGTTGCTTCTAGCCTTTTTGAAGCTTTTGGGGATCTTTTTGAAGCTTTTGGGGATCTTTTGAGCTTCGATACCAACCCATGAGGTGGATCATGCAGACGATACGTTTTAAACAAATAAATGGAATATCAGAGCAGTGACTTCGCTTGCACAGATGTGGATAGTAGTTGGTAAGACTGCAGCCAGAACTAAGATCTTCAGAAATTACACACTAACATGCCTACCGTAGATGTTTTCTAAGTAAAGAACTTTCCACCACTGCCTTCAATGCTGTTTTACATCAATCACTCAGATTTCCATAAATTAGAAGCTGCCACCTTGAAAAATATTTACCTAAGTTCCCACAGCAAGAGTTGGTTAGCACTGAAGGAGAACATGAACTTACAAACTCCGGAATGTTTGCTATCAGAGACTTATCGGCTTGGACATATTTCAAAGGGGAAAAAAAAAAGGTCAAATGTCTTGATACCGGGATGGATTTCACAAGAAGGAATGAACACTGAGGCTGACTTACTGGCTTCTCTACCTTGTGATTCTCTGCATTCAGAAATGTTAGTATCGCAAGTCCTCGATTACCGTTGTTTCATTCAATGTTATTCCATTATGACGTTGATGAGATGCCATAGGTCTTTAACTCTTGTGTCTATCAGTTAACCTAGGGTAAAACTGGTTTCACTATATGACATTTCCTTTAAAGCCTCAAATCTTGTCTACGACGTTAAGTGAGGGTTTACTATACTGTTCTCTCTCCTTGGAAGTCGCTATTGGAATGATTTTTCAGAATGCAGCATCCAAAAACATGGAAATGGTCTTAGTATTCAAGACTCCATTGCCCTAAGTCTCTGGGTGGGCTTGTCAACCTGTCTGTCATACATCATCATAGAACAGAGGCCTAATAACCCTGGGGGGAGCTGTGCTGCACTTGACGTGGAAAGAACAAATACGCCTGAGATAGTCTCCTATGGTGAATCTTGTCACAAGGCACGTCTGTGGGTAGATTGGTGAATTATCTAGAAGAGGGATGTTTGATCTGTAAAACGACACCATTAGATTAGGAATGGAAATGTGTGGAGGAGGTTAAATAGGGCTGTTTGTTTCTAGTTCTGTAGGGCAGACGATTCTCAGAATAAAATGAGGACTGAGGAGATGAGAAACAGACGTGAATAGGATAGTTTTATTACTTATGCAAGGGTTTATTTTTTTTCCCCGGGCATTATGTCCAGAAAAAAAAACTGATTGGGTTTTCTAAAAAACAAAGTGAATTGATCGCAACCAGTGTGTCTTCTAGTACTTAAGTGAAAATTGAGCAAGCAAATCAGGGTTCATGTCAAAGCAATTTGTTAATTGTGAGGAAGCTTGGACTAAAAGGCTTCTGTGATATTTTCCAGGGTTAGATTTCTATGACTTTAGACTGGAGCAGGACTCAATTAGAGCCCTTTTTTTCCCCCCAAATTCCTGGTACATAGGTGGTAATGAAAGTGTTTTTGTAAAAACACCAGGCATTGCAAATATAACCCAGATCATTTAGAATCATTTAGAAGCAGGTACTTTATAACCCTCAAACAATGCTTTGTTTACACACACACACACACACACACACACACACACACACACACACACACACTTTACCCATTCCTAGCCAATTCCCAAATCTCCTGAATAAGATATGTTTTGACTAAGGCAGACCAGTCACAAGTTCAAGAAATAAAATGAACAACAAAGGATCTAATGTTCATTTTCCTTTTCTGTCTACCCATTTGTTGTTTTGGGTGTGTAGATGGGACTGAGACTTGGAGAAGCAGCAGCAGATCTCTCTATTTTCTGTTAAAAAGTGGCGTGGAGGCAACTTATTTATCACTTTGTATAACTTATTGTCATTCAATAGGACTTAACCTCTTATCACCAGGCTAGTGTGTCTAATGTTGAAAACTAATGTTTCTGTTTTTAATGGCCCAGCTTTCCTTACTTCTAGAATATGAAGGCCTGACATGTCAAGATGGCTGGCTAGATGCAGGAGGAGGTCTTTAAGAAGTGGGCCCAGACCTGGAGTCTAGCTCAGGGAACTGCCCCCACCCCACCTCCCCCACCCCCACGCCTTGCCCCTGGCTTAGGAAGGTAAAGGAAGACAAGAGTTATGGGGAAAGGAAAAGAGATTCTCAAGAGTAGTACACTATTAAGGCTCTAGGCTTACCACTTGTTGCCATGGCAACCCATAAATCAATAATATGTGCTCTCAGCCAACCTTGCTCCCATGAAAAGCAAATCCAGAAGATGTAGAAAAAGACTGAACGTATTTGAGTGGCTTCAAGGGTTATAATTATGAAATTTTCAATATATGCAGCTCAGAAGAATTCGATTCAGTAAGGAATTTGGGGGGAAATCAGGGCTTTGCTAATGGAATGTTCTATGAAAGCTCTCTGAGGGCATGGGTTGTTTTTTGAAGGAGTTTCTCCAAATTCTCATAGGAAGCTAGACCCACCCACAGACTTGTATTGGTCTATAATAAAATTTGAGAAAAATAAGGACAATTTAGGGAGTTTTTCACAAATCCAAATGTATTCAATCCTAACAGATTCAGAGACTATGACTTTCTTATTTTGGGGGTTTACATATAACTTTTCAGAGAAAGGAGATGTTTACAAATTGTCTTTACTTGGAAAAGTGAAATCAGATGACAGACCTGAATTGGTTTACCCTATTTTTTGTTTTAAATTTATGGGTCATTTTCTCAAATATGTTGGGGAGATTTATCACATTTAAGATACTGTCTAGCTTTGATATTTACTGCACCATTAATAATGAATACAAATGTCTCCTGATCTTTTGGGGTTTATTAACAATAAAAGTTTTCATTTGCTGCTTCCCCTCCCCCGCTTGTTGAACGGAAGTTCTGACCACATGAATAATTTCCAATGCAACTAGAACCTAGATTGATGCTCGCTAACATCCTGATTGTAGGATGGGAAATGTGGGGTTCTCGCCGCCCTGGGGCATGAGATTTGGAACTTTAACAGACAAAATATTCTGGCACAAATAGAATATTTTGCAAGACACATCTTTGAAAAGTTAGGGTCTGAATTAGTCTTAGTAAAGGTTAGCTAGGCTGTTTTCTATTTAACTTACCAATGGTTAAGTGGGCAGCCATGAATCTGAATATTGTGTGGACCATAGCTGATTAAAAGTGAGGAAAAGCATTCCTGTAAATAATTAAGGAACAGAGGACAATCTCAGTTCCGTAAGAATGTATTTTATTTAATTTGATTTCTGAGTGGGAAAGGGCTTCTGGGCATCTTGAATACCCTGGGCTGTGGGTAGTCCACTCTTAAAGGCTACATCGGTATAAAGGGTTGCAGTCGCATTATAAAGGGCTCTTTCATGATTTCTGATTCTGCCCTATCAAATCCCAGAACCATGCTTTTGCAAAACTGCCAGCTGGCAGGTGGAATCCAAAAAAAAAAAGTAGCAGCTGTGGCAGTAGGATGAGGAAGCTTTATTTCCAGGTAAAGCAGGATCCAGATAATATGAAATGGAGGGAGGGTGGGGAAGGGAAGAATGGAGTTTTTTGTAACAAAGTCATAAAGTATTTTTTCCCTAATTTTCTTGCATTTCCTATTTATATAAAGTATCTTGATCACTGTGTTGCTCTACAGAGATTTTCAACGGAATTAATTTGGGAGACTGAACTAATCTCTGAAAAAGAAATTGACTAGTTACAGTTACTTTTTTGGATACTTTTTTTCTGTATTGTGAATTGTGTGGAAATGTACAGAATAAAAATTAAGAAATATAATTAGTTTCTTCTCTTCTGTTGCTGCTAGATATGGTTGATGTGAATACGACGTTTAATGGTGGTTAAATTAGATTTTCAAAGTGAGAATGTAAGCGAAGTGTTGGCTCTTAGGGAAGGCAGAAACTAAAAGGGATTCCTGAAAAGGCAGAATTGAAAAAAAATATATATACATATACATATATATACATATATATGTATATATATACATATATATACATATATATGTATACATATATATGTGTGTGTGTGTGTGTGTATATATATATATATATATATATATATATCTGCTTTCAAGATGGACTAACAGAGGTCAAATTTACCCTCCCACCTAAATAAGAAAAACATTTACTTACAGCACAAGAAGAGCTGGAGCTCAGGCAGAAACGGTAATCCCTGCGAGATGAAACTCAGGTAAGATCAGGTCTATGATGACTCCATTTTTCAGACTTCAGCAAGTTCCCAGGCTGTGGCTCAGGAAGGAGAAACTGAGGCATAGCCTGGCAGATTTCCTGAGCTGGGGAGACAGAGCCCAGTGTTTTTGACACCAGGGCAGCTGGGGCTTATTGAGCTGAGTATCAGGGAAGAAAGACGGGCACAGAGAAATAACCATGCAGATCTGCACAGAACTCCCTTGAGTATTCATCAAGTCCTTACTAGTGTAGGCCTTTGAAGGCCCTATCTGAGACTGAGAAAGGACCATCCAAAATACTCAGGAGAGAAAGCGAGCAGTTTACACAAGGCTGGAATAATGCCTGTGGCCACTCGCCACACCACACGCCCTTTGCTATTTTTCCCACTCCAGTCCCGTTTCCTCCCCATCTCCATTTACAGAGGCAACACCGGTGATGGTTTCGTGTGGATCTCTGCTCTCTTCTTCTACTTCTCAACTTCTGTTGACTGTATTCCCTGTCACACATGGAAACTTTTACATTTTATTGTGCACCAATATTAAAAGCTCTATGTGTTGTCAATTTTTTTGTTTTATTCTAAGAGTTGAAAGCCACAAACATGGCGTCTCATTGGCATCACATGTTATTGTGTACACGAAGGCCAATAGTGTGCTACAATGACACGTTTTTCTGAAACCTTTCAAGGTCATGACCCCAGTGCCAGTGAAAGATAATGTTCCTGTCAGCCAGATCAAATAATTTATCTTTTCTCACATAGTTTTGGATTGCTCTGCTTCACACTTGGACTCTTTAATACAGTTTTCATGAATTTCTTTCTCTTGGTGTTGGCTATCTTTCTTTGTTATTGCTGAAGGATAAAACACACACATGATTTTTTTTCAATATGTCACAAGTATCACCTAGCTCTCTGATCATTTTTGGAATCCATTCCATTGTTTCTCCTGAAGACATTCTTCTCAAATCCAGTGGCTTTCTGTTCTAATTTTGCTGAGTTGTTTTCTAGGCATGCTGTACAGTTATCACCTTAGAGCTTTCATCTTTCGACTTCTGCATTTGTCTAATCACTTCTTGACTCACACATTTTCTAGTTTCTTGATTTGCTAGTGTATAGCCACACATTGCTTATTAAAACTAGGCACCAGGGAAATAAAATTCTCTTGAGTTCTCGCATGTCTGAAAAAAGTCTATTTTTAGCCTTGACTTAGAGTTTGTCTGTCTTTGGGATTCTGGTTCCAACGTCATTTTCTATTAGAAATCCGGAGACTCTTAACGAGGAAAAGCAAGTCTCGTGTGCTTTGTGAAAAGTAGGAGCTCATTCAGCAACAGGTTAAAATCACAGACTAGCATGTATGGGAGCAAAAGGACTTTAGAAATCGTGTCAACCAATTTTATTTTCCAGGGGAGAAAACTGTGGCTCAAAGAAATGGAATCACCACCCAAGATCACATAGCTAGCTAATGAAAAGGAGGTGTCACCGAAGCTCATGGACCACTCATCTGTAGCTTGTCTCTCGGTGTCATGTCAAAATGCTTTAGGTTCCACCTGAAGGCACTATTAGGAGGAAACAAATATTTGCAGTAGAAGAGAAGGGTACACTGGACTCCAGCCCCAGCTCAGCTCCTGAGGGGTGAGTATGGCTCTGGCTTTCCTCAAGCCCAAGTTTCCTCATCCATCAAACAAGACTGTACTCATGATACCCAGTCCTCCTCCTTCTCTCAAGGGGTGGGGTTCTCCGAAGAGGATCTTCTAATAGAAGACTCATTATACAGATGAGAAACGCTTCAAAATGATCTTCACCCAAGGCCCCCACTTCGGACGTCTTCACTAAAGCCACCACCCAGGTGTGTTGTTTGAGCAATATGTGCCATTGCATTCATAACTGATCAGCAGGTTTTTTTCATTCAGATTGTCTTAATAAGATATCTATGGCTTCACACCACAACCTTTCGTAGGCATCAACCCTTGGTAACTTTCTGGGTGGTTATTTTCAGAGATTGTTACCTTGAGCCACAGGTTGCTAGTTCCACGACTCTATAGGCTATCCTTTGAAAGGTGTAAAGAGAATTAGCTCAGCTTCCTACAGATGGAAAGGACCAGAACTTTCACAGAGCACAGATGGTGAATAATGATTAGTGTTCCAGCTACACGGAGGACATGGTAATGATGACGAGGAAGGATGCTTCTCCTTCGCTGATCCATCCAGTTAGGTCTCGAGGTTTCATTTCTCCTTGATGTTTTCTGAATCAGTGTGGACAGCTCTGGGTTTGGCTGCAATGTTGTTGATTACAAACTGGGTGAACTTGGTCATGTAACACTCTTTTCTTGAGCCTGTTTCCTCATCAGAGATACAGAAAACAACACCACCAACCCAATGGAGTTGTGGTGGATATTAAATGAAATATTTGCTGGAAAAATTCTTAGAACAATGCTTAGCACATAGTAAGATAAATTATACCACTGAAAATATGCTAGGGGTGATCATTGATGAAATGGTTATATTTCTAGCGCTGTTCTCTGCACTGTGGGGCAGGAGACAGGCAAAGGGAGAGGGGCCTGTATATGCTGACATTGGATGACTTAGTCATTTGACTTAATCCTCTTTGCTCTGACCTTGGAATCCTAACCTAAAATTTGCATCAATCCTTTCTATTCCCTCTGACTTGTAAAAATATCTTCAAAAATTAAACATATAAAAACTTGGTCAGTGATAAATAAGGTACAATTCTGAAAACTTAGATTGAGAGAAACTGTGGAATAAACAGATCTAAAAGTTTGAAATGAAAAAAGAAAAAAAAATCAGCCTGACCTAAGTCAGGCTTCTTATTAGGTCTGTCTGAAGATTGCTGATTTAAGAAGAAACCACTGTGTGGTCCCTTCAGAAGTGCGTATGCACGTGACGTATATTAACAATTTAGGTTTAAAGTCTTTGGATAGTTTTCCTATTTGAAATTTGCCTGTTTTAAAACTGTCTTCATTCTGCTGAGAATCACCAAATTTGTAGACTTAGATGGTATAAAATCAAAATTTTGAAGATTCTTTCATAACATTAAACCTCTGACAATACATAAAATGTAGCGATAATCTGCATATACTCCGATATCCCATAAGGTTCAGTTTCTGTGTCTACCCCCATTGCTGGAAGTCTCTCTTTAAATTCCCTCTCACTATAACTTTTCATCTCAGCTCTGACATGACACTTGGCCTGGCTCCTCTGAATTTAGCTTTTTAAAAAAAAAATTATACTTCCCCAGAAAGGAAAATGCTTGTTCAGCCCAAACCTAAGGTTTGCAGTGAGGGCCGTGATATATTCTCATGAATTAAGGCCTTTTCATGGTCACTGATGACGGGTATGAAATATCGCATACGAGCTGGTTTCAATTACCTGTATAGAAAAATCAATGGAGGTAGTTTGTGCAGGCTCAGTGAGCTTCTGGCTCATTGTACGGAGAGGTTACAGCTCTCCGTCTGCCCACCACACACTCATCCCTCTGCTGGAGGCAATCAGGAATGGGATGCTTAACTCCGTTAGCAGTAGTCTCTGGTGAAAAGTACATACTTCATCACCAAATGTGAAATGGCCATTTAGGTTGTCAAGAGAAGGGTGATACTGAAGGAATGGAATTTTCTGGCTCTAACCCAAACCCAGGTCATATTTTCCATTCTATTTATCTTGTCTAAAAAGAAGTAGGGAGTATAAAGGTTGAAGGAGCGACAAATACTAAATATCATCCATGTGGTTCATAGTAGAATGACAAGTGGTCCTTTGATTTACTAGGTCCACCGGAGAAAAACACAAACCTCTCAGAAATTTATTCATTCTATTGTAATTGTATTTTCAAAGAACAAAAGACAGACCCCAGGCGCCTGGGTTAGACACCTTCTAGTGGACTCACTGGTAGAAATTGCTTGAGTTAGAAATCCTGGCATCTCTTGTTATCTCTGGTTGAGTATTAATTACTTCATGGCCCCAGTTATGTCTATAAGTTATTTGTGGGGGGTGAAGCAGGACCCGGTAAATAACACACCACCTTATGGCTCAAGTTCTAATCCAATTGAGAAATTATAAACAAATAAAAATTAAACAAGACAAAACAAATGAGAACCCAAAATATGATTTAGTACTGCTAAACCTGATATTGGAAGTGTGGTTCCTACAGGAGGATAAGTGGGCTTCCTATTATCAGTTTCTAGAAGGAAACAGCCCATAGGATGGCATTACCTGTAGCTCCCTTAGAACCTCCCACCCTTAAACTGGAAAAGAAATATGAATTGGAACAATTGAAGTTTAGAAAATTCATCAACAAGAGCTATATGATTGGCTGGTCAG